TATATGAAATAATAATAATAATAATAATAATAATAAAAACCCATAGTATCTGAGCATTATTGCTTCCTGTATTTTGAGGGAGATAATAATGATAAATAATTGTAAACATTTACTGATACTTGATTAATGCTAAACATTTATGCATTAATCTTTCCACTAATCTTCTAAGATCAATCACATTATCATCCCCATTTTATCACTGAGGAAATGAGGATTACTGATATTAAAGAACTCTTCCAAGTACAAAGTTGTAAGTAAGAGATCTAGGATTCTAACTCACGCATCCCTGATCCCAAATACCATGCTCCTTACCACCATGTCACAGTTCAGAAGGTTTATGATTACATAAATTGCTATGTTCAATATGAGAAAATTCCTGAGTAAAAACCACTGATTGAAAATAACTTAAATATATACACGTAAAGCACAAATTACAGTATGCGTCTCAACAAAATCCTTCTCCAAAGATATATTTGCTAGAAAATTAAAGTTTGGCTATACACACACACACACACACACACACATATATATATAAAATAGCCTCTCCCATAAAATGATAATGGCAAATAAAAGAGATTTCTCTTTTATTTCCTTCATTTAGGACTAAAAGTTGCATGAAAGATCGAAAGCATCATTAAAATCTTTATCCATCAATTTCATAACAAAAGTGGTATATGAAATATAAAAAGTAATCAAAGATAGTATCATGTAAAGATTGAATCCTACAGTATGCATGCATTCACACAATGTAATATGCAAGGCTATATATGTTGATTCCTGCTTCTCAAAATATTTATAAACATATCTGTGCATTATAAAAGAAAAATATGTCTGATACAGCCTTCTTTTATGTTATTATAGTTCAAATAGTTTTTATCGTTTCTATGAGAATGATAACCAGTATCAAAGAGGGTTCATTTCAAGTAAAGTCCATGACAAGGGACAGCAATCCCTATTTTTCCTCTACTTGTTCACAAGAAAGTAGGGGACTAGATCCTGGTCTCTGCCCAAAACAGTACAAAGGAGAAAGGCTGTCAGGTAAGGAATGAATGTCTGCATCTCAAGTTTGTAGTATAAAATTCCTGTATGCTGTGAATGCTGAGATTTTTAACTTGATGGAACTAAGCAGGTGAAATTTATTTCATGTGCTGTGGAGAAACTCACTGAAGATAAAACATAACTTGCCAATGGGAAATGCACAATTTGTAGTGTATATTTGCAAAAATGTATCTAAGTTCACAATCAAATGATATTTCTAGGCATTGAACCCTACCTTTTACTTAAACAACTACATTTGCTAGGATTTTCGGAGAAGGCAGTGTTTTATATATGTATCAGTTACATTTTAATTATGGGCCTCAATGGTAATATGGTCTCAAAGCAAAAAGTAATTAAAAAAATTCTTAATTCATTATCATTTCTAAGTCCTGAAGACAAAATATATATGTGTGTATTCAATTTTAAAATATCAATGATTATTATGCATATGGTACATTTCTATAGAGAGATGGTTTATTTTTCAGATTAATGGAAAGGGATTTACAACATGATACTATCACATTTCCTTCTAGTGAATAATGGTGGAAAATTTTAACTTAGACATAGAAAAATAACTTCATGATCAGCTATATAGCTATGAAATTCAGTTAAGTAACTGGGTATCATTAGATACAGTCATATGGCAAAGTATCTTCCTGCCTTCTAAACCTTAGAAGGAACATTAATATTGTATTTTGAAATATCTCCATCATATTGAGTCATTCTATTATTATTTAAAAAAATAAGAGTAATTTACACTTATAAAAAGATAAGAACCCAAACACTCAACTTCAGAATTATTTTAATGATAATATACAAGTTACTCAAAAGTGAATAATCAGGTAATCTAGGCATTGCAATTTCATAGCATTTTATACTGATGTCATCCCAGTAAGTTGCAGTCTTAACAAATGAAAGAAGATACATATTGATTTACTTTAAAAATGAATTCATTATTGCTCATTTCTGTAAGGGATTTATGTATTTATGCTTCACCAGCAAATGAGCTAAACATAAGCTGTCTTTCCCATCTGAACTCTTGAAAGTAAGAATTATTTTGCAAATTCATATATTTGAATTCTTACATTAAATGCCTTGATTGATAAAAACTTGCAATATTAAAAACATAAAATTATGGACTAAGTAAAACTGAAATATATATCTACATTATAGGTAGGGATAATGAATATGGGATTAGTGCCTACTAAACACTGTCCTGCTGAATGGCCAAACAACTTTGAACCATGTTATCTGAGCAGAGTTTTTTTTTTTTTTTTTTTTTTTTTAAATATAGTATGCTTGCTTATGCTATAGGCTCCTTTTACTGAAAAAGTAGTTAATTCTGGTGCTGAAATAAATCAAGATTTCACTTGTGTCTCTTACCTTTACCATGGCTTCTCCCATCCTCCAAAAGCGGCACTACTATAGTGTTGTTCACATTTCCAGGTGACCGTACAGCTGTGTAGACAACAGGCACCGACTGGACCACCACAGGGATGCGGTGAACATGACTCAGTTTGTTAGACTGTAAGTTCATGGGGCTTGAAGGTGGTACAGGATGAATAATGTGCAAAAACTGCTGGCCTCCCACACCAGATGCAGAGGCAACAAGGGGCCCTGGCGTTAATACTGTTGACGAGGATGATGCTGAAGATACTGATGTTATAACAGTTGGGGATGAGGCTGGACGACTAGAAGACGATGAAGAGGTTGAAGTAGAAGAAGGTGAGGAGGCAGACGCTGTCATGGAAACTGGGGAAGATGAAACGGCTGTAGGGGATGTCCTGGCTTTGTTTATTGACAAGTCCACTGGCTCAGTTTGTGTTTGGAAGTGATCTACAGATAACGAGTCCTCTGGGGGCTCCCCTTTCACATTATTTAGCAACAGGGGAACAGCTTCCATATCGGGATAGTTGTGGACGTTTGGAGACTGTGTAGAGAAAAATAAAACACATATTTATCTTTATTAATCATGCATTTAAATAGGCACTGATTTATTAACTTGAATCTTTAATTTTTTCTCTGATTACTATGGAATGTATTAATTCATTCACCAAATATTTGAGGGATCACATTGTGACAGTCACTATGATTAAAACTACAAAATTATAAACCAGAATAAAAGAAGACCTCTACCATAAAGACATTTTCATTCTATTTGGAAAGACAGACACAACGATTAAACTACAATCAAATAAGTGTTCTACTGAAGAGAAAAAGGGACCATAGAAACCTGAAAAAAGCAGCAATTTTGCATAACATTTTCTAAATGACAATTTCAAAAAGCAAAGTATAATATACTTAAAACTGAAAATACTCCCTATTTAATTAGAAAACATTCATTCTGTTGATAATTTGAACAATCACTGCATTTATGAGTTTCCATTTAGGCACTTGACTGCTAACTAGAAGGCTGACGGTTCAAACCCACCAGCCACTCCTAGGAAGGATGGTTGGGTAATCTACTTCAGTAGGGATACCACCTCGGAAACCCAAGGAGGGGTCGCTGTGAGTCGGGCCCAACTCCATGGCACATAATAACAACAACAATGAACTAATGAGAGTTTTGATTCCTAAAACCCAAACCCAACCCACTGCCACTGAGTCCATTCCTACTCACAGCTACCCTATCGGACAGAGAAGAATGACCCCATAGGTTTTCCAAGACTATAAATCTTTACAGAAACAGACTGCCTCATCTTTCTTCCATGTAGCAGCTGGTGGGTTTAAACTGCCAACCTTCTGGTTAGCAACCCCATGTTTAACCATAGTGCCACAAAAGCACGTAGAGTTTTGATCACCAAAAACCAAAAAAAACAAACTCACTGCCATTGAGTCAGATCCGACTTATAGTGACCTCCCGCTTGGGTTTCCGAGGTGGTATCACTATGGAAGTAGATTCCCCAAACTTTCTCCCAAGGAGTGGCTGGTGGGTTTGAACCTCCAGTTTTCTGGTTAGCAGTCAAATGCCTTACCAAAACCCAAACTCACTGCTGTCAAGTCGGATCAGACTCGTAGCAACCCCTCCTTGGGTTTCTGAGGTGGTATCACTATGAAAGTAGATCACCCTATCTTCCTTCCAAGGAGTGGCTGGTGGGTTTGAACCTCCAGCCTTCTGGTTAGCAGTCAAATGTCTTAGGCACTATGCTATCAGAGCTCCTGTCAAATACCTTAGGAAACCTTAAATATTCTTCCCAGCCTAAAATGCTATGATTTCACAATTTTACCTTTATCTAATGCTATAATAATAATCTAGAGACACACTGGAAAAACTCATTAATACTTTTCCACTTTCATATTTAGTGCAATGACTACTGTACCACATTCATTATGAGCATTAAAAAATGGGCACAGAATTCTTCAAGCTGCCACACCTGTTCACTAAATTATTAAGTACAAATCATTTCTAACAATCGCTTTTAACTTACTCTCAAAACATGACAAACAGTTCTCAAAATAAAACTCAAAACAATGCACAGAGCTATTATAACTACTCACATTGTAGGAAACAATAATTTTAAGAAAAAATTATGTTGGAAATTTTAAATTATCTATGATTGCTTTTATAGCTCTCTGGTGGCACAGTGCCTAAGGCTGTGTGACTGCTAACCAGAAGGCTGGTGGTTCAAAACTACCAGCTGTTCAGCCGAAGGAAGATGAAAGACTGGATTATCTACTTCCATAAAGATTTATGATCTCAGAAACTCAATGGGGGTCACTATGAGTCAGAACTGACCTGATGGCAGTTTTTTGTTGTTGTTGTTTTGCTTTTTTTTAATGACTGTTCTTAATTTAAAATAATGATAGTAATTTTTCTCAACTTTATTTTCATGTTTTAACTTTTAATTAGCAAAATTAAATAGTAAATATTTTATACAGTGTAATATGCTCAGTACATTATTTGATTCACTCATAAACTCAACAAGTATTTATTGAACACCTACTTTGGAGGCTCAATGGCTCAAAAGTTCTATTAGTTGATGTGTGTCCATGTGTCCATCACAGGGAGAATTAGTCTATAATAGATTGTTTTGGTTATATCTAATTTGACCAAACTAACATAGATATTATTACTTTATCTTATAAAGACCAAATATATTTTTTGGCTTTTTACGGTACCAAAACAATACCCAAAATGGTATTACATTGGTTAATTTCATTCTTTGTCTAATAAAGGCTTTAGTTTCTTTATATCCCCCAAAACTTGAACATATACATAAAGGAACGAAACAGATTTCTCAAAGTCTTTCTTCATAGAATATAATTTCAGCTCCATTCCAATTATACAACAGGCAGCAGAACAAGGGCATTTTATTCAGCAACAATGAGAAAAGAAAGAAAATGTTTACATCAACAATGGTGCCAGATCAATTAAAAAGAGATGTGGTTTGATGTTTTATTGTTCTCTTTTTTCTCCATTTGAAACTAACATAGTTACTTCCACAAACACATGTTGTTGTTGTTGTCGTTATGTGCTGTCACGTCAGACTTGACTCATAGCAACCCCTCCTTGGGTTTCCGAGGCAGTATCTCTATGGAAGTAGATTGCCCAACCTTCCTTCCAAGGAGTGGCTGTTGGGTTTGAACTGCCAGCCGTCTGGTTAGCAGTTAAGTGCTTTAGGCACTATGCTACCACAACACACATAAATTAGAAAAAAATAAATAAATAAGAACCTTTCAGAGTATCCAATGAAGTAAATTCTAAATAAGAAGATTTTTGTTTTATGTGTAAAAATGAGAAAAAAAAAATATTTTTTAATCTCCTCACAAACACTAGGAAACTGAAGAAACATACCACCATAAATTGTGATTTATAAAAAGTGATTAGCATCATCTACTCTTCCAACTGAATGACTATAGGAATTTAGTTTCAGCACTATAGTTTCCTTTCGTTGTAGAATAATGTATTTCTTATTAAGATGCTGTACTCATACTACAATTCTTTGTTGAAGTTGCTTTCATGAAAGCTAACAATTGGTTTGTCATTAAAACTATGAAATACATCTTGAAGCACGTACATTAAAGATCACTGGTTTGCTTGACTTTAATTATTGTCTTGAATTATTTCTTCATACATATTGTATTAGACATACCCCAAATTCTTAATTTGGAAATAGAGCTTATTTCTACCATGAAATGTTCTCTCCTAGCTAACTACTTATACACAAGCTTTCTTGCTTACACATGTTTACATACCAAGGGTTAAGGTGTAAATTCATCATTGCATAAACATTCCATAAAGCAGGAGAGTGACTACTTCAGCAGATTATGACAATACAAAACCAAAAACCAAATTCAATGCTACCAAGTCAATTCGACTCATGGCAACCCGCCTTGGGTTTCTGAGGCAGTATCTCTGTGGAAGTAGACTGTCCAGTCTTCCTTCTGAAGAGCGGCTGGTGGGTTTGAACCGCCAGCTTTCTGGTTAGCAGTCAATGACAATACAGAAGTTGGTAAAGAGATTGCATCTGAGGCATCAAACTTCACTGAGCTTTGCAGACTATTTAGACTTTGCCGCATTTTGAGTGAGAGTCCAAATTTGGTAGTTACCTATCTACTTAATCCCTCACTGAGGAATATATTCACTCCCTAAACTATTTTACAATAGGAGATGAGGAGTGTTCCTCATAAATTCTGTTGTATAAAATAGAAAAGTATGAATATTAAATATTAAGAACCCCAAGATTCTCTGAAATACTTGAGACTTGAACAGCTTTTGCAAGAGCTCAACTCAAAATACAGAGAATAAAAATCAGGAAGGATAATCTAAAACATTGTGCCAAAGACATATCTTACTTGGAACTGTGGATGGTATACATGAATTTATAGACAGAAACATCAAAGAGACACATGCTGGTCGCTTTTTGATATGTAGCCATTGAAATGCAGCCAGCATGTTCAAAAATAATGTTTCCTAAGTATAAAAGGTGCAAAATACTGTATCATTCATCTGTTTAAAGTGTTGACATATCATATCCTGACAATCCATACTAATCTCTTATACTGTGATAAGGTGGTAGGCAAAGTTGTCTATAACTCGAGCATTAGGCTGCAGATACACGTTTGTAAGACCAGCAACATTACATAAATATGACGTCAAAACAGCTACAGCCCACTGTTAGTCCTTATTTTCCAAAAAAAAATGAGAGAGAGGGAAAAGACCCCGATGGCTCGATGCTGAAGTTATCATTAGGAATTCATTTCTTTACTTTTAGAAATTGTAAAGTCAAAATGCATTGGTTCTAAGATTTGAACCCATAAATGTGCAGCTGGAGTGAAGAGAACAGAGTAGACAGCGAACAGAAAGAAAAAAAAGCTGAGGAGAACACACCTGCAAGAGAAAACCAAAAGGGAAGTAGTTAGAAAGAACAGCTTGGAAGTAAAAAAAAGGTTCACACATTTCAGAGAAAGTGAGAGAAGGAAGGTAACAGTGTGCTACCCAAGGAACAGGCGCTAAGAAGTAAGGATGATGAAAGACTAGAAGTAATAAACAAAAGCTGTAAGTTTAAAATACTCTGGGAAAGAGGAATCACTGTAAAAAGAACCAAAAAAAAAAAAAA